AGCAAGGGTTCCAGGTACATAAATTTGCTTGGAAAGTGCCTTCAAGGTCCGAATGACGTGCTCAAAAATCATATCCTCGAAAATTGATTACAACGCAACTGCTATCAGCGTTCGGAGCATGATCATAAATTTTCGAAACATTGTGATAAGGCTTTCGAAGCCTTTACTTGGGCCATGTTCAAACCTTTTTTGACTTTCACTTTAGTGCATTTGGCCCTAGCTACACGAGGACAACATCATGAAATCAGTAAGGTAAGTCCACACAATGTCATCTATTGTCAGTTTTTATCCAACCCTATTCTTCTAAAAAAGATGTGGAAAATTTCCAGCTTTGTAACGGCCCTTTTTCGGTCATTTCGCGCGCTACACTTTAGTATTTGCAAAAAAAAATTGTATTGGTCGTAAAAATAAATAAAACGTCCTTCTTACAGCATGCTACTAACTCCGGACAATTTGGCTACACTGGATGTCCTTCAAATAATGATTTCTACTACGAAGGTATAATTACATCGCCACTTTACCCAGATAATTATCCACCAAATACTGAATGCTACTATTACATGACAGCTGCACCCGGTAAAGTCCTCAGGTAATTCTAGAATTCCTGTACTAGCTTTGACTTCATAATAATAAATTCCTTTAGTTTCAACTTCACGCACTACGATTTGGAGACATGCTGTGATTATGTGACGATTTATGATGGAAATGGAATAAAGAGCCCTAAGCTTGTCCAGTAAGACTTCTTGGATTTATTTTCATGAATAATCACCTGCTGATTCCTAGATTTGGTGGTCCAGGAGCATCAATTCTAACTCCTAATGGTATTTACACAACTACACAGCGGAATGCCCTTGTTACATTCCAGTCCGATAAAATTATTCAGCAAAGTGGATTCCAATGTAGATACGACTCAGTGTACAGTACGTTTCTAATCATTGAGTACTGAGTTACCGATAGGGAAGAAATGCGGTTTCTGAAACTCAGTATGGTCATAGAAATTTTCTAGATTAGGTACATCCTACAACTGTCACAAAATGTTTTATTGAAGTTCAGAGTAGTATCAATTTTTGTTGGAG